AAAAAGAAAAATTTTTACGAATTCTTAACTAAAAAAATTTGCAAATTTTCATGATTTTTCCATATTTTTTCAATTTTTGAACTTGAAATGCTTATAAAAAAAAACTGTGACTAAGAATTTTTAATATTTTTCATCTGCCTTTGAAGCAATATAGTAGGAGCCTTGTATTAAATTTTCAAGTATTTTTACTCAACAAATACATTTTAATTGATATTCATAAAAAAAAAAAAACTAATAAAATTGAAAACTGAAAATGTCCCTAAACAGTTCAAAATAAATCCAAATATTTTGAAAATGTTATCGTGTATAGAAAATGCAAATATAAGCAACCAGTGATAATGTCAGGGCTGGAATTAAGTCACTTTTTTAAAATTGTGTCACTTTAAGTCATTTATTTAGAAAATAAGTCACTTATGTCACTTATTTTCATAATGTACCTAAATTTATATTTGAACTGCGCATAATTCCGAATTCGCCCGCCGCAGCGAAAAAGATCGTATATCGTAAGATCGTATTTTTTTTTTCAAGTTATTTACAGTTTTTCTGTAGTTCCCACAAAACTGATAGTAGCATATAACAACCAAAGACGTTCTGTATAATAAAATGCAGTTACTACCACGGACTAAGATATAATATATTATATATATTATATAATATATTATATAATATATTATATCTTAGTCCGTGGTTACTACCTAGTACCTTCTTCACGGTAACTACAGACAAGTAAGTGGAAGTGGAGGGGACGCTATCTCCCTTTTTGTTGGCTATCTAGTTGTTCTATGGTTTAAGGTTATTACCATGATTCCATGACAATAATAATTTATTGTTGAACCACTATCATTGATTATATTTTCCCGCTAGTTTTTATTGTCTCTGTTATCATAAGTCAATAAAGTCATACCGTTTTATATTAATTTTAATAATTTTTAATAATGGGTAAAACTAAATGCTTCTTTCGTGAAGATTGGCTTTCAAAAATTGACACAAACGGCCATGAAATCAAAGATTGGGCTTCCAAATTTTCCGATCATGTCGCGTTTTGTAAAGTGTGTGGAAGTAAAATAAATGTGGAGAAAGGCTTTCAAGCTTTATCTCAACACGCATTGATGAAAAAACATATAACCAATGCGAAGAATAAATTGTCAGCAAGTCAGTTGCATTTATCAGTGACTCTTTAACATCAAGTAACCCATCTACAGGTGCACAAGTCATTTCTCTCCATAGTACTAGAGAAAATGCTTGTAGAGTTGAATTATTATGGACCATGAAGGTAGTCGCAAGTAACTATTCAGCATCATCATGTAGTGATGTACCAGAAATATTTAACTGTATGTTTCCGGGGGCTGTTCCAAAAGATTTTACATTAAGCCGTACTAAATTCAGTCTATTTAAGTCTAAATCAGTCAGTTTAACTGTCATCAATCATATTTTTAACAAATAAAATAAAATATTATTTTATTAATATTATTTCTTCATAATTAATATGAATATTTTAGTACTTTATTTGCACATCACATAATATACTAAGTATTTTATTTTGATTGTAGGTATCTATTAACTTATGCGTTGGAACCATATTTCAAAGACCAACTTATACGTGATATGAATAATACATATTATACTTTGATGTTCGATGAAACCACTAACGTAACAGGTGCTAAGGAACTTCAAATTGCGGTTCGTTATTGGTCTTCTAGAAGTAATTGTATTGTTTGTCATCACTTAAAAACATTTTTCATTGGAAAAGCAACTGGTGAGGATTTATTTTTTAAACTTAAAGAAGCTTTAACATCATTTGATTTATCTCTTCATAAGCTAATAATGGTAGGCAGTGATGGTCAGAATATTTATAAAAAAGTATTGAGATTAATGAACGAAGAGTTGTGGATCATACGAAAAAAAAAATTAATAGATATTGGTTTTTGTAACATTCATTTATTGCACAATGCTTTTTTAAAAGGATTAAAAGTATTTGGAGAAAATGTATCAGATTTAATTGTATTAATGCATAATTTTTTTGATGGCTGGCCATCCAGATTGGAAGATTTTGAGCGCATCCAAACTGAAATGAATATGCCTAATTTACGCTTTATTAAACATTGCTCATCTAGATGGTTAACAATTGAACCTGCTGCTTATAGAATGCTTTTGCTTTGGGATGCTGTTAATCATTATTTTTTAAAATATGTGCCACTTAAAGTACATTCGCTTTCAAAGTCTCCAAGTTTTATTCGAATTGCTTCATTATTAAAAAAAGATGCTTTGATGTTGAAAGCTGAAATTGAGTTTGTGTTAATGAGTTCTAAAATGTTCACTCGTTTTACGAGTTTTCAAAAAACTGAACCATTAATACACATAATGTATGATGAAATTAAAACATTACTTTTAACGCTTCTTAGTAGAATTTGTAAACCACTATCATTAACTTCACAAACACCTCTTAAAATTGACATATTAAATGAAGATAATTTATTACCCTTATCTGAAATAGATTTAGGAAGCGCTTTCAAAACAACAACATCATCAATGAAGAATGTAGATCGTTTAAGTCTCATAAAACAGTGTCAAAGTCATATTATTGCAAGTTGTAAGTATATAATTGAAAAGGCTCCATTAAGTGGCAATCGCAGTATCATCAAGAACTTCAGATTTTTAAAACCATCTGAAAAATTATCAACGAGAAGTACTAATGACTTGTTAATTATTGCTAAAGAACTCCCTTTTCAAAATGACTTTGATGTAGATAGACTCACAGATGAGTGGAAATTATTTAAGTTACAAGATGAATCAAGTAGTGAACAAAATAGTTTAAGAATAGACGTGTATTGGAATTTAATAATAACTCAAAAATCTGAGAATGGTAACCTTAAGTATCCATTGCTTAGTAAAGTTGTAAAAGCTGCTTTATCAGTATCCCACGGTAATGCTGATGTTGAAAGGGGGTTTTCATGCTCAGCAAATTATCTTACAGACGATCGTGCAAGCATGTCAGAAAAAACATTGAATGCAGCGCTTGTTGTCAAAGATGCTATTAAAATGTATGATAATCGAGCTGCATTAGTACCAATCACTCCTAAATTAATAAGCTTGGCACATAGTGCTTACAATAGATACAAAAATAATTTAGACAAGGAAAAAGAACTAAAAGAACAAAAATCAAAAGAACAGATACAGAAAGATAAGGAAAGTATTTTGTCTATTGAAAAAGAACTAAGTAAAAAAAGGAAATTAGAGGACAGTAAATCAAATCTTGCAAAAAAGTTACTGCTAGAAGCAAATCAAAGATTGAAGAAAGAGGTAGAAGCAAAAAATTTTTCTGAAATTGAATTGGGTCAAGCAATGCTTGCTGGAGTCTCCAAAATTGAAAAAGAAAGAGACCAAGAAAAAAAGGAAGCAGAAGAATTGCAAAAAAAATTAACCAAACTTCAAAAAAAACTAGTCAAGTCCTGCACTCCAGCCTTATAGTCTATATAATATATATAGTCTCATCTAGTCAAGTTAACTGTTAAATAAACCTTGTAATGGTGCTAATTATATTATAATAAGTTTTGTTATTAATACTGTTATTGTTAATGTTTTGTACTTAAACTTATGATTAAAATAAAAGAAGTTCCTAAACAATGATCTTGGATATTATTTTATATTATAAATATTATTAATTTAAATTGGTAATATGATTTAATTATTTGCTATTAAAATTTGTGTTTATTATAATCATTATTTTTTGTAATTTCTACCAAATGAAGTAAGTTTAGTTTGAATCAATTTAATTATAGGTATGTAGAGATTCAAAGACAATTTATGTTTAATAACTGGTAAGTTATTATGAAACATATTTATGCAGGTCACTTTTTTGTCACTTTTATGAATAAATTCAGTCACTTAGTCACTTTTTTAAATAGCATTAACCACTTCCAGCCCTGTAATGTCATGTATATATGTTCATTTGTTTTAAAGTTACACCAAAAACCAAAATCGATTTTGTGTAAATTCGATTTTGCGTAAAAATTCCCGTTTTTCCTTAATTTTTCTTTTGTTTTTCACGGCACTTTTGAAAACTACTGGGAAATTTTAACTTTTGACCCCCCAAAGTACCAACAAGATTCACTTTCCTATCAGCAAAGATACTGTTGAAGAAAATCCAAGCACTTTTACTGTCCTAAAACGTGATGAGACACAAAAAAAAATTTAAAAAAAAAAACACACATCATTGTAAAATCAATACATTCAACGTTCACTCAGAATCTAAAAAACTAATAAAATTGGAAACAGAAAATGTTCCTAAACACTTCAAAATAAATCAAAATATTTTGAACATTTTATCGTGTATTGAAAATGCTAATATAAAGGACCAGTAAAAATTTAGATTTACACCAAAAAGCAAAATCGATTTTGTGTAAATTCCCGCTTTTCCTTAATTTTCATGTTGTTTTTCCCGGCGCTTTTGAAAACTATATTGGGAATTTTAATTGTTGACAATCCGCAAAGTACCAACAAGTTCCTTTTACAAAAGTTACTGAAGTCAAAAATTAAATCACTAGGTATTACTGCTTTAAAAAGTAATGACAGACACAAAGAAAAAAAAATACACATAATTGTAAAATCAGTACATTCATCACTGTTCTGAATCTAAAAACTTAATATAGTGATTCACAAATTTTTACCGCTGAGAAACACGTAAGTCCGTTTGCTCCTGAAAATACTAGTACACCACAAAGTAAAAGGCAGAAAGTAGTTGAATCGTCATTTGGATTTGGTCAAGAAAATGGATCCGAATTGTTGGAATATGGTTTGGATACTGATTATAATATTGAGGATAAACCAACAATTTCTGAGTATGTCATTATTTTTTATTGCGATTTCAACATTTAGTTGTATTTTTTTTTATACAATTATTATAGAAGTCTTGAAGGCCGGGGAATTGTGGATATCAAACACTTGTTTGATCAAATCAAAATAGTCGACATAAACCTTTTGACTGTTCATTTTTGGATATTATGGCATTTCAATCAGAATGTCATAAAGGATACCTGTCCGTATTTAGTTTTCGGTGTAAAATGTGTAATAAGAGTTCATCTTTTACATCTGAAAATATTCAGAATAAAGATAAATATCTGCCCATCAATAAAGCTATTGTAAATGGCAGTTTAGCAATTGGTAATTAAATTATTTTTCTAAAATTATTTTCAATTTGTATTAATTATTTATATTTTAAAGGTATTGGATATATACAGCTTAGCGGGTTGTCGGCATCTATAGAACTCCCCTCTTTATCAACAGTATCTTATTTAAAAAATTTGTCCGTTATGAGCAATTCTATTCAAGAAACGGCTTTTGATGAGATGATAAAAGCTGGTAATGAAGAAAGGCAAATTGCCATCAACGGTGGTAATGTTGATGAAAATGGTACACCGCTATGCACTGTAGTAACAGATGGCCAATGGTCAAAAAGATCGTATAAAACTAAGTATAACTCATTTTCTGGAGCGGTAAGAAACAATAGATTTTATTTTTTTGTACCTATTATTATTTATTATCATAATTAAGTAGGTCACTGTAAATGATGTTTTTAATTTGAATTCAAAATTTTTGTCCGAGCACAACAGTTTTTATCATTATTTATAAAAAAAATATCATGATTTTGACAAATTTCGTTTAAATTTGATCTTAAAAAAATTCAAAGCTTTTACATCTTTTTTACCTGTACCTAGCTGTATTTAAAATTGTGTAAATTTATAAATTATTTTGTTATCTCGTATAGGTACCTGTTTTAATAATTTAATTTTAAATAATTTTACAGGCTACTATTATAGGTTATAACACCAAAAAGGTGTCATTTGTTGGAATTCGCAATCGGTACTGTTCCGTTTGTGAACGGGCGAATAATTTAAATATAGACGTACCAACTCACAAATGTTTTTTGAATTGGAATAAAGCATCAACGGCAATGGAAGCGGACGGAATAATGGAAGGATTTCTTAACAGCATGAGTATGCATGGTTTAAAATATAACAAATTAATTGGTAAATTATATTTTTCAAGAAATTATATTTTCCACTTTCTATATTATATTAATTATATTTTTCAGGCGACGGTGACAGTAGCGTCACCAAACGAATAAACGAAGTTATGCCGTATGGACCAGATTTCAAAATTAAAAAAATTGAATGCAGAAATCATCTACTGCGAAATTATATGACGAAATTGAGTCCCCTTTCAAAAATAACAGAATATCCCATTATCATACGTAACTTTATAATAAACAACACTCTGAGATTTCGGTCTGATATTAGGAGAGCAGTTAGATATCATTTGAGCACGGATTTGACACTTCAGCAAAAAACAACAGGTGAACATAAAAAAAAATATATCAAATTTTATGAATATTTTGGAATTACCAAATTTATACACACAAAATATATACGTGTGTGAAGTTGGGTGACCAAAGCTAGGTGACTATTTTTTTCGGGCGGCTAGTGATAAGAAACCTTGCACGTTGGGTTGCATGCTTTAAATTTCAAGGGTGCCTAACTATTGCATCGAAATTATAAAGTAGATGTCGCCCTATGTCATTTAATAACTATTTATTTTAAAAGTATATAAATAAATAATAAATTCTATTGGCGTCATTACCACGATAATTATACCGAAACCATAACTATACCGAATTATACAAATCAATATTAATTAAAAGTTAGGTTATAAATTGCCCTAATTTCGAAGACACGTTCTTACAAATGTACATTGCACTTTTGCAGTTTACCTTAACTAATTAAAAGTGTAAACTGTAACTGTTTAACGATGTCATTTGTTAGAGATCACTTTCTACGGAGACAGGTAAGTTTATGTTATGTTAATTGTTTTAATTATGTCATGTTCCGTTTACCTATCCACATACTGAATGGTAGTGTCTAAACGAAAAATAGGCAAAACTCTATGTCTATGTATTGTATAAACAATTACATTTATTTGTCATAATTCAATTTTATAGTACTGGGTATTCATAGGTGGCGAGGGGAGGGGATCTAACGTAGATTTATTCCCACCCCCAAAATAATATATTTGAAAATAAAGCCTCCCTTAAAATGAGAAAATAACCAATTATTGTAGTTTAGTACAGATTACATAATTATGTATTTACATTTTTTTTATTATTATTCAACACCTATAAAAATATTATTTTTTATTATTCATTTATACAGTACAGAGCTAATACCGACTAATATCCTATTTCACAGTATACAATATCAAATAAAATAAAATAATATTTCAATTGTGTTTATTTCATTGTTGGTTTGATGGGGATGTAGGGATGTGTTTACTACCCAATGTTTTACAGGTTATCTGCCCATGTACCTATTGTAGCGAGCTGTGACTATTTTGCCATATGGTTTAAACACATTATAATGTATACGTAATCATATAATATTCGCACCGCGTATATATAAATATTATACTCGAGCGCTTCTTCGAATAGTAATAATATAATATTATCAATAATAGTAATATCGAGCGCGTGACCATGAGCGGCGTGCGACAATAGATATATGACTACGTATATGGATAATCCTAAAATAATATAGTTAGATTTGTGCTGTTATTAATTATTTATTAATTATTGTTGAATAACACCACAAATGTGCTATATACCTAGATATATGTGGACTTCCGGCGCGTGCAAGCGTGTGAAAATCACAATAGGCTTAACCGCAAGACCATGTATGGTCTTAGAAAGTATGGAAGTGGCAAGGGACAGAGATCCATCGTAGAGAGCTGATGGACGGGCGTCCGTCAGACGAGCAACCAACCTCAACTTCGACAGTCACACCACTAAATACTCATAGTCACAACTCGCTTTTAGTTAATTATTTGGACTTAGAATAATTTCTATAAAACTGTTTTATATAATAAACACAATAAATACTATCAAAAGAGGTTTTGTTCAATTATTGCTTCCAAATCAACAATTAACGCTGTAGGGCACGTTACAAATTGGCGCTGTGGACAGGGTGTCTCAAAAGATACTTAGAAGAAACCCGAAGAACACTTTAAAATTTTTTTCGAAATTTTCGAAAAATTTTTGAAAAATTTTCATCTTCTAAATTCGATCAAGGAGGGAAATCCATCACTGGATCACCGTTGGAAGACTGATCACCTGCCAACAACTCCGAGAAGAATCCTGTACAACTACATAACACCCTACTACAATCAACATTTCAACCGAGCAAATGGAAGCACCCGCAGTACCCGCCGTGTTGTTGTGAGTATTTAGAGTAATTAAATCGTTGTTCGTCTCCTATGGTATATTATATGACCATAGTATATATTATATAAGTGAAAAAATTATTCGTGTTAAATTAAATAAGAGAATTATTGAGAACTTTGAATTTTTCGTGTTAAATAAAAATAAATTGTGAGGGACTTTAAAAATTTTTTAAAATAAAATAAAATTGTTCAACCTTAGATTTAAATTAATAAAATAATTAAATAAAATAATAAAATAATAATTAAATAATAATTAAATAAACTGAAGTTTTAATTTAAAATAATTTTTTTTTAATTGTCTAATTAAATAATAATAAAAAATAAAAATATATTGTAACTTAAAAAAATCTTTAACACTTTTAATTAAATAATATTTAAATAAAATAATTTAATAGTTGTTTGAAATTTATTTTTTAAAATTAAATAACATTGAATAGAGTAATAATTTTATTTTTACAATAACGTCGCGAGTTAGCAAATTTTTAAATATAATAAATAATAATTTAATTTCGTAGAAATTTTTCAAACATTTAAATAAGTTAAAATAATAATTAAATTCTAAAATAAATTTCAATCATTCGAATAAAATAGGAAATATAATTTAATTTAAAAATAATTCTACAATCATTAAATAAATAAAATAACAATTTTAGTCATTTTAATCATTTAAATAAAATAAATAAAATTTTATTTTAAAATAATTTTCATTTAAATTAAATTAAATAATAGTTCTATTTAAAATAATTTCCAATCATTTAAATAAAATAATTTTAATTTTTCCTAAACGTTTTAATTAAAATAACTTAACAATTATTTGAAACTTAAATTAAATTTTTTTTAGTTAACTAAAACCATAAATTTGTTTTTAATTTTCTCTTTAAATAATTTCCATTAAAATAAAATAATAGTTATTCGAACTTGACTTAAATTAATAGTTAAATAAAATAATAGTTTATTTTAAAAGAAATATTCAATTAGTTAAATAAATAAATAAAATAAATACTCTAAATAAATTTCATTCAAACCAAATAAAAAAAAATAATTAAATTAAATAATATTTATTTAAATAATAAATGTTAATCCTTTAATTAAAATAAAATAAAAAATTTATTTATTAGGACTTTGAAAATTAAATAACCATTAAATAAAATAATAACTTTATTTAAAATAAATTTCAGTTACTTAAGTAAAATAATTTAATAGCTGTTCGGAACATTGAATTAAATAATAACGTAATAATTTATTGGAAATAGAATAAAATTAAATATTTTAGCGAATATATATATTCGAACAAAATTTTTATTTTTCAGGTTGAGTTAGTGATTGATTAATTATTAAATAAATATAAATACATAGTTAAAATTAAATTAGGTTGAACAATTCATAAATCTTGAGTAATATTTAATTGAAATAGATCGTGTAATATTATAATAAATTGGGAATTATTATAAAAAAATATTTTAATTATTTTAAGACAGTTGAGTCTTTATTGTTGAATATATTGAGAATTTATTGGGAATTTTTATTTAAAGGCCGGGAAGTAAGTCCTTATATTTTGTGAATTTTATTGAGACAATTGATGTCTGTATTTGAGAATTTTATTTAGAAGGCCGGGAAGTAAGTCCTTATATTTTGTGAATTTTATTGAGACAATTGATGTCTGTATTTGAGAATTTTATTTAGAAGGCCGAGAAGTAAGTCTTTATATTTTGTGAATTTTATTGAGACAATTGATGTATATATTTTATAATTTTATTTAACAGGCCGGAAGTAAGTCCTTGTATTTTGTGAATTATTTTAGACAATTGTTGTCTGTATTTGGGAAAATTTATTTTAAAGGCCGAGAAGTAAGTCCTTGTATTTGTTGAATTTATTTAAGACATTGATGTCTATGTTGATTTTATAGGCCGGAGGTAAGCCCTAAGTTTTTGTGAATTATTATGACAATTGAAGTCGAGTTATTGAATTATTGAATTTATATAGGCCGTGTGTAGTAAGTCCTTTTGTGTTATATTTTTCCGACAAGTGAAGTCGAGGTTTTATTGAATTTATTTATAGGCCGTGAAGTAAGTCCTTTTATGTTTTGAATTATTACGACAAGTGAAGTCGAGTTTTATTGAATTTATTTACAGGCCGTGTGGTAAGTCCTGAGATTAGTGAAATTATTTGAAGACAGTGAGTCTATATTTTTGAATTTTATTTTTATAAGGCCGAAATAAGTCCTTACGTGTTGAAAAGAGTAGGTTGATAAAATTTTTTTTTTAATTCAATTAATACAGTTAGTAAGAGTTACTATTTAAGTATAGATGTCGTATGACTGGTTAGTTGAATTAATGTAAAAAAAATTTTTTTTGTTTAATAATAGGAATAATTATACTATTATTATTTAATTGTTAGATTAGTTATTTATTTATTTGATATTTTATTTAGGTAGATTTTAATTTACGAAATAATTATTTACGTAAGATTAATTTATTTTACGCTAGTGTGTCAATTAAATCTTAATTCTATATTTATTTTAAATCTGATTATTTAATTTTAATTACTTGATTATGACTATTGATTAATGAGTCAAAAAGAAACCAATACTAGTTTAACAGAAAGCGAAGCTGAAAGTATACAAGTAGTAGACCAGGAAGTTAGAAAAGTCGTATTAATTAAATCTGATATTATTAATAATAAGGATAGCGAATTAATTAAAGAAACAGCAGTAGTTGACGATAAGGAATTATTAATTGATTTAAGTACAGAAGAAGGTTATCAATATTCCAAAGATTTCGATAGGGAAAAATATTTAGAAGCTATTAGGGAAAAGGATTTATTGAATACAAGCATAAGACCGATAATAGTAAACGAAACTGAGCTGCGACAGATAGGTACTCGTACGCAGAAGGGGATAATACATACACAATTAGAACACGTTAAACGAATCAAGAAAACCAAAATGCCAGGGAAGATTCCATTAGATAAAGCCACCCTCATGATCCCTACATGTACCGGCGAACGGGACGTTTACCAATTCATAAAAGCTTGCGAATTAGCATGTTCGGCAGTAGAGAAAGAAGACCTACCTATTCTCACGAAATTTATTAATACCAAGTTGTTCGACCAAGCTTTAAATGTGTGTCGATATAGGGACACTAGTGATTGGGAAGGTATAAAATTAATTTTATTAGACGCTTTCGAACCTCAACAATCCACTTCTTCATTGCAGGTAGCATTAAATTCAGTACGTATGAGAGGTAACGAAGATGTAGGTGCATATGCTAGACGTGTAGAACAGCTATATTTCAATCTATGTGTAGCAAGTACAAAGGGTAAAAGTACAGAACAGGCAAATACAATCCGCGATCAGTTAAAGGAACAGACATTGGTAGTTTTTATAAAGGGGTTAATACCTAGTTTAAAGACTATCGTGAAATCTCAAAAACCACCCACTTTAGAATTAGCTATACAGGTTGCTAAGGATGAAGAAACTGAATTTAAGTCTGAGTCAGATGCATACCAATATTATAGAGGCAATAGTTCAGGTAAACAAGAAAACAACTCTAACGGGGATACCAGCAATTCTAATAGGCGGAATAATAATTTTAATAACACTAATCGTTATAATAATTATAATGCACCAAATAATAATAGACCTCAAAGTAATCAAAATCCAAATTTTAACAGACCTGATATAAATCACATTAATAGACATAATTTCAACAATAATCAATATCAGCCTCGAAACAATAATAATTTTAATCGCAATAATGACGTAAAAAAGTATCACGAAAATCCTACTTGAGGATAATATTTGAGTAAGAATGTAAACAAAATAAAATATATACTGGTCAATAAACCATTGGAGATTTTAATTATTAAGTACTATTATAATTGTTAATAATCAAACATTACTATTAACCAACACTTTATTGTAATCAATAAATATTATATATGTAAACTAACATTTATTATTATAACATTAAATATTATATTAATATTGTATTGGAACTATTGTATTTTAATCAATTAATTTAATCGAATTACTAACAAATATTTTTATCTGTATTTAAATTTTATAATATATGTAACATTATTGTATCAATTTAATCAATTGTAATACTCTAGACGAGTAATCTAAAAAAAAAAAAAAATGTACTAAAAATTATCATGTAAATTGTAATAATAAGACAATGATTAATTATTTATATATTGTATCTGTAAACTCATGAACTATGTAATTTATGTAAACCAATTGTAAACTTTTATCTATGTAAAATTTTAAAGCTTTTTGTAGCCCTACAAAATTGTAGCCCCACAAAAACCTTTGAAAGGGCGGTGAGGTGTAGCGAGCTGTGACTATTTTGCCATATGGTTTAAACACATTATAATGTATACGTAATCATATAATATTCGCACCGCGTATATATAAATATTATACTCGAGCGCTTCTTCGAATAGTAATAATATAATATTATCAATAATAGTAATATCGAGCGCGTGACCATGAGCGGCGTGCGACAATAGATATATGACTACGTATATGGATAATCCTAAAATAATATAGTTAGATTTGTGCTGTTATTAATTATTTATTAATTATTGTTGAATAACACCACAAATGTGCTATATACCTAGATATATGTGGACTTCCGGCGCGTGCAAGCGTGTGAAAATCACAATAGGCTTAACCGCAAGACCATGTATGGTCTTAGAAAGTATGGAAGTGGCAAGGGACAGAGATCCATCGTAGAGAGCTGATGGACGGGCGTCCGTCAGACGAGCAACCAACCTCAACTTCGACAGTCACACCACTAAATACTCATAGTCACAACTCGCTTTTAGTTAATTATTTGGACTTAGAATAATTTCTATAAAACTGTTTTATATAATAAACACAATAAATACTATCAAAAGAGGTTTTGTTCAATTATTGCTTCCAAAT